AAGTCACTCTCAAAAGCTAAATTTCACTGAACTTTCATAGAGGAAGCAAAGTTTGAAATGTTCTTATAAACATTTTCTTTCAATGGCGAATTCCTCAACCAAGATGGGAAATTCACATGACTCTATTAGATATGGCCAAAAAATAATAATAATAAAAGACAAAAAAAGAAAGAAAGAAAGAAAAGCTTTGAAAATAGTAAAAAAACTGCACAAAGTAAAACATTCACTCAACTCATATAGATGGAGAAAAAAAGAAAAAAATGACCAACAATCTAAAAAGACTTAGTGGTAATCTCTTTTTAGTGATGTAGTAAAATAAAAATTTTCAAATTTAGGAAATAAAGATAATGTCGGAGAAACGTGCAAGTAAAGATGTCAATTTTATACTTTTTTCTATTTAAAGATGGTAATTTTGTCATTTTTAAAATAATGATGCCAACTTTCAAATTTTTTTTATTTAAAATTGTTAATTTTTAACTTTTTTATATAAGGTTATCAACTTTTAACTTTTTCTATTTAAAAATACCAACTTTTAATTTTTTCTATTTAAGGATTAATTGGATGATGATGTTAACGTGGCAAACAAACTTTTTTAATGGGAATATTGAAAGTTAACATTCTTCAATAAAAAAAATTAAAAATTGACATTTTTAAATAGAAAAAGTTGATAGTTGACTTTTTTTATTAGAAATTGACAAAATTAGCATCCCTAAATAGAAAAAAGTATAAAGTTAGCATCCTTGTTCACACCTTTTCTCTGTTGAAGTATATGAATGGAAAAAGATAGAGAATAAAAAAATTAGATACATGTACATCAAGAGATATAGGAAACAGATTTTTTTAATAAAAAAAAGAAAAGAGATTTAGGAAAGAAGAGAGTTATCTCTTATCACATACCTCATTCATTAGATATAATAAAAAAAATCTAATACATTAATTTTACTAGAAAGAATGAGAAATCACTCAATGAAAAATTAGTTTTGAAGTGGATATAAATAAATGGCTCTAAAAACACTTTAATGGTTGAAAAAAAAGTCAGGGTCTTTCTGTTATATGGAAAAACTATTGTGTAGTATGAAGTGTACTGAATTGCACAATAGAGATCATTTGATAAGATAAAGTGTAGATTTTCTAATATTGGGAGCACTCCTCCATCTAACCGTCCTTATTTTGCAATTCAAATTGTAAAATAAGGAACCCCTATTTCCATACTAAAAATTACCAATACATCAAAGTCAACAATTTCTATTGTCATTTGATATATATATATATATATATTGTAATAATTAATCCATTGATTAATGATGAAGGTATAAATTCCTCCTTCCCTTGATAATCTCATCTAAGAGTAAACCAATTTGTTACAATCTTTTTTTGATTCATTTTTAATGAAATAAAGAATTAAAAAGAAAGAAAAAGGAAGGGCTAAAACGAAGGGCTAAGGGCTTCATCCCTACATTTTATAAATGAGAAAATAACTCTTTTGACTAAGCTGTGACTTTTAGATAAACTTTAGTCTTGCATTATGTAATTGCAGAGTTTAATTTTTGGATGATTCTATAGCTAGTGGATGTGATGGGTTTGAGCTACTCTTTGTACCTCTTTAATATTTTTTTTTTCTGATAAAAAAATAAAAGAAAAACAACTGATACATATAATTGTCGTGGAAAGTGGAAACTGTTGAGTTGAACCAATTAATAATGTGCGGGACCCATTTATGACACAACTCAGAGTCATGGAATAGTTGCTTTTACTTACTTTACTTGTCTATATAAAGGTTTAAGGCGTGTTGCTGGTAATGCACGGAGACAGTAGCAGTACCTGGTGGTTGATCCAAGAATATTTTGATGGAGTCGAAATGGTTAATGCGTGTGTTATTTACACTCTTCTTATTAGAAGGGCTATGGTGCCGAGGGTGTTGGGATGAAGAGAGAACTGCTCTCCTCCAACTCAAGCCTTTCTTCACAAAATCTTGGCAGCTGATGAGAAACTGGGAGAGAGGAAAGCAAACTTCAGATTGTTGTCAATGGGAGGGGGTTGAGTGCAACTCTGCTACTGGACGTGTCATAACGCTCAATCTCAATTACTCATCGTCCGAAGAATTTGATGGCTATTGGCGTTCATCATATAGCTTTATGGAATTGGAGAATGTGTATCTAAATGCGTCTTTGTTTCTTCCATTCGTGGAATTAAAGAGTCTCCATTTGGCTGAATATGGAATAGCTGGTTGCATTGAACATGAAGGTTTTAATCTACTTTCAACTTAATTTCATCTTTTACTTAAAAAAAAAAAAAACCCATTTGTTTATTGTTTCATCTTTATATATTTTTTGGTGCAATTTCAAGTTTTTATATTTGTGGTTCCCAAAACTGAATTAGTAATTAGCTTGAATGTTGCAAGAAATTGTTTCGCAGGTTTTGAGAGATTTTCTAAGTTGAGGAATTTGGAAATCTTTAATCTAAAAAGCAATTAATTGAACAATAGTATCTTATCATTTTTTAGTGAACTTTCATCTTTCAAGTGTCTATATTTAGCCAACAACAGATTCCAAGCATCTAACCATGCTTATGGTATAATTGTGCATTTTTGACTTATAGAAACTTGTTCCCTTATTGTTTCATCTTAATATTTATGTGTGGCTTCAAAACTAAATTAATAATTATACATATTGCAAGTTTCGAGAAACTTACTAAGTTGAGAAATTTGGAAATCCTCGATTTAAATTACAATATGTTGAACAATAATGTCTTATCATCTTTGAGTGAGCTTCCATCTCTTAAGTTTCTATATCTAGTCTACAACAAATTCCAAGCATCTAACGATGCTAATGGTATAATTCTCCATTTTTGTACTTATAGAAACATGTTTCCTTATTGTTTCATCTTAATATTTATGTGTAACTCCAAAATTGAATTAGTAATTATATGTATTGCAGGTTTTGAGAGACTTTCTAAGCTAAGAAATTTGGAAATCCTCGATCTAAGTTACAATAGGTTGAACAATAGTATCTTATCATCTTTGAGTGAGCTTCCATCTCTCAAGTCTCTATATCTAGCTGATAACGAATTTGAAGCATCCAACCATGCTAATGGTAAAATTGTCCATTTTTTTACTTAGAGAAACCTGTTTCCTAATTGTTTCATCTTAATATTTATGTGTGGCTCCAAAACTGAATTAGTAATTATATGTATTGCAGGTTTTGAGAGACTTTCTAAGCTAAGAAATTTGGAAATCCTCGATCTAAGTTATAATATGTTGAACAATAGTATCTTATCATCTTTGAGTGAGCTTCCATCTCTCAAG